AGCAGCACCCGAAGAGTGGTCATCTTCGGGGTGGGGGAGAAGGTCTGAAAGAAGTCAACTCCCTCTCGCTGACTGAAGCCTCGAGCCACGTAGCGCGCCTTGAAGACAGGAGGAGAACCCGGTGGCCGCTTCACCCTGAAAATCCACATGCCACTGACGATGTTCGCCCCAGGTGGGGGAACCTCGTCGACGTAGGTGCGTGTGGACTTCCAGGAAGCCATCTCTGCGTCCATGGCTGTCTGCCACTGAGAGGAGTAGGGACCCGCCATCGCCTCAGCGTAAGTGCGCGGGGTCGGGATGTCTGGTGCATCCGGGTCTCCCTTAGGGGCAACTAGCATGGACACGAGGTGGGGCAAAGCAGCAGCAAAGCACTGGAACTCCTCCTGTCTATCCTCAAGGACGTCCGTGCCAAGAGCACACTCACCCCCGACGGACGGAGGACAGACAGACTCAAACTCAGCAACAAGGCTAGCGGCGTAGTCTAGACGACAGCGGGCAGCAAAGTCTATCAACTCAGCGACTAGAGCAGACGCAGCAGAGGACTCAAAGGTAGGGTCAGTGACAACAGTAGCGAGGAGACGGGTGATAGTGGGACTGGCAGCACGACGGGAGTCAGACTCCGGGTCAGGAAGAGTAGGCAGAGAGGAAGCAGGAGGAGACGGTAGCGGGACACGCTGAGGAGCAGTGGAGGGACGCAGAGTCATGTAGTGAGTGCCAGGGACAGGAGGAGGACGCTCACGTGGGACACGACGACCAGTGCGAGCAGTACGAACAGGCGACGCAGGACGAGACTCAGGCTCACGACGCTCTGTAAGACCTCCTGTGGGACCAGCGTAAGGAGAGGGAGCAGGGAGAGGCGAGGCAGGCGGGAACTGTGACTGCGACTGGACAGGCGGAGGACACTCTACGGAGGGAGGAGGACAAGGAGGAGGAGGCTGACCAAGAACCTGCTGAAGAAGTGGTACGAAGTACGGTCGCGGCCGCGCAGCGTCTCCAGAACCAGCAGAGACACCAGCGGCAGGGTCCTCAGTACCAGCAGCAGCTCCAACTCCCGGGTCCTCAGCTCCAGCAGTAGCTCCAACGCCCGGGTCCTCAGCACCAGCAGCAGCGCCACCGCTCGGCTCCGCAGCACCAGCAGCAGCTCCACCGTCCGGGTCCTCAGCTCCAGCAGTAGCTCCAACGCCCGGGTCCTCAGCACCAGCAGCAGCCCCAACGCCCGGGTCCTCAGCACCAGCAGCAGCTCCAAAGCCCGGGTCCTCAGCACCAGCAGCAGTGCCACCCCCAGGGTCCGCAGCACCCGGAGCACCACTCCGAAGACTGCAGCGTCGCGTGTACCACTCTCGGATCTGCTGAATGGGGGGGAGCTCCTGGGTAGGAGGGGAAGTACCGGGACGAGCTCCAGCAGCACCTCTCCGGAGGCGGCAGTACTCGAGGTACCTCTCCTGCAGCTGCTGGGAGGAGAGGGCTCCTCCAGGTGTAGCACGCTCAGTCTCAGTACCCCCAGACTCCGCACCCCCAGGCTCAGCACCTCCAGGCTCCACACCTCCAGGGTCCGCACCTCCAGGCTCAACACCCCCAGGCTCCGCACCTCCAGGCTCAACACCCCCAGGCTCAGCACCCCCAGACTCAGCACCCCCAGGCTCAGCACCCCTAGACGCAGGACGAGAGTCAACAGCTACCTCGACAGGCTCACCCGGGTCTACCTGGGACACACCTGAGGGAGCGGCACCCTGAGGGGGGAGGGGGTCTGGTACCTCAGCACCTGGAGCGAGGAAGAGAGGCGGGGGGGGAGCGGGGCAGTGCGGTAGGGGAAGAGGCGGTAGTAGGGGACGGACTCGTCAAAAGTGACGTCCTGAGAGGCCAGGACACGCCGCGAGGTGGGGTGGTAGAACTGCCAACCAGGGGCGTCCGGGACAAAGCCAAGGAAGACGCAGGGGACAGCGCGACGGGAGAGCTTGTCCGCGGACGTGTCGCGGACAAAAGCTCGGGATCCCCAGACCCGAAAACGCGACGCATCGCCAGCCTCTCCCGTCCAACGCAATGTCGGAGAAGTCTCGGGCAAGGAGACACGGGGCCAGAGGTTGAGCTGATGCGCAGCGTATCGGACTGCAAACGGCCACAGAAAGTGGGGGGCAGCCGCATGAACCAAGGAGGTACGAGCGACCTCCATGACCAAGCCAATGCGGCGCTCAGCAACCCCATTCTGCTGTGGAGAGGCCGGAAGCGTGAACGACTGCTCAATGCCCTCCTGCTGACAGAAGGCCTCCAGGAGGCCAGAGGAAAACTCCCCACCTCTGTCAGAGTGCAGACGCAGGACAGGAAAGTCGGAGCGGAAACGCCTGGTGAGCTGGAGACGAGATCTGCGGATCCAAGGGATCAAGACATCAGGTACGTCACCCTTGGCTCGCAAGGGGAAGACCGTGGTGTAGCGCGAGAAGTCGTCAACAACGAGCAGGAAGTACCGCTCCTGACCCTGTCCACGGACGCGGGCTGGGCCCCACACGTCCAAGTGGAGCGTCTGCAAGGGAGCAGTCATCGGGGGAAAGGAGGAGGAGTGAGGAGCGGCGCGCTGCCGCCCCTCGACACAGGGAATACAGGGAGGAGCAGGCGAGTCGGGAAGGGGAGGGAGAACCCTGGGAAGACCAGCAACAAGGTCCCGTTTGTGCATGGCCCGAAGGCGCTGCACAGACGGGTGACCAAGGCGGTGGTGCCAAAGGACAGTCTCATGCGCCAGAGAGCGACACGAGCAGGGGGCGGACAGCTGACCTGACGCAGACGCAGACGTAGACGCAGACGCAGCTACCTGAGGGGACTCAGTGGTCAGTGTGTACAGGTCCGACCCCGGCTCTCGAGTGAAAGTAGCCAGGTGGCGACCCGTCCGAGCACACGTGCAGTGTGTCACGCGCTCGTAGGCAGGGGTGAACTGGTGAACACCCGAGTCCTGGAGCGCACAACCTGCCACCAAGTTCGTAGAGAACGAGGGGAGGTAGAGACCTGACAGCGTGCCGGACGGGACCGCAGGACAAGGAAGGACAGTAGAGGAGGTCGCAATGACCGGACCCCCAGAGGGGTCAGCAAGGGAGACAGCAACTGGCCGAGCGAGTGGCTCAAGGACAGTGCGGTCACGAAAGAAAGAGCGAGAAGCACCTGAGTCCAGGGTGAAGGTGTGCAGTGCTGCAGTCGACTCAGTACCAGGGGGCACAGACGCACTAGCACCTAGGGCAGCAGCCTCACCATCACCTGGGGTAGCAGACACGCGAGCACCTGGAGCAGCAGACGCACTAGCACCTAGAGCAGTAGGCTCACCAGCACCTGGAGTAGCAGACACGCGAGTACCGGGAGTGGTAGCCTCACCTGCACCGAGGGCAACAGACGTACTGGCACCGAGAGCGGCTGCCTCACTCACAGAGCGACTGCTACTACGGCCACCCCGACTGCTCAAACCTGCGTACCACTCACGAGCCTGCTGGAGCAGAAGAGGGCACGGCTGCTGCACCTGTCCACTACCTGAGGCTCCCGAACGACGGACGCCAGAGCGACTACCACTACGGCCACCCCGACTGCTCAAACCGGCGTACCACTCACGAGCCTGCTGGACCAGAAGAGGGCACGGCTGCTGCACCTGTCCACTACCAGGGGCTCCCGAACGACGCACGCCAGAGCGACTACCACGCCGGCCACCCCGACTGCCCAAACCGGCGTACCACTCACGAGCCTGCTGGAGCAGAAGAGGGCACGTCTGCTGCACCGGTCTACTACCAGAGGCTCCCGAACGACGCACTCCAGAGCGACTACCACTACGGCCACCCCGACTGCCCAAGCCGGCGTACCACTCACGAGCCTGCTGGAGCTGCATCTGGCCACGTCAGGAGCAGCAGCAGTAGCGGCAGCAACAGCAGGAGCAGTAAAGGCAGTAGCAGCAGCAGTAACGGTAGCAGTGCTAGCACGGCAAAGCTCACCAGTGGTTGGTGCGGCGGGCGCAAGACAGTGGCGACAGCGTGGCCGCTGCAACAGCGGGGCGGGGCCAGGTCGTAGCAGGGAGCTCCGCGGCAGCTGCTGCAGGGTCGGCGGCGGCCGCTGCTGTAGGCTCGGCGGCGGCAGCTGCTGCAGGTCGAGCGGCGGCTGCTGCTGCAGGGTCGGCGGCGGCCGCTGCTGTAGGCTCGGCGGCGGCTGCTGCTGCAGGGTCGGTGGCGGCTGCAGCTGCAGGCGCGGCGGCGGCAGCTGCTGCAGGTCGAGCGGCGGCTGCTGCTGCAAGCTCGGCGGCGGCAGCTGCTGCAGGTCGAGCGGCGGCTGCTGCTGCAGGCTCGGCGGCGGCAGCTGCTGCAGGTCGGCGGCGGCTGCTGCTGCAGGCTCGGCGGCGGCAGCTGCTGCAGGTCGGCGGCGGCTGCTGCTGCAGGTTCGGTAGCGGCAGCTGCTGCAGACGAAGTCGAAGCCGCGAAGGGGCGGCTGAGGGATTGCGACGGGCGGCTAAGGGGCCGCGATGCGTGGGTAAGGAGCCGCGACGGCGGCTGAAAGGGCCGCCACGAGCGGGTAGGGAGGTGACGACGCCACGGGAAAGGCGACGCGGCGGGCGGCGAGAGCCTGCAGCGGCGGGCAGCTCGCGGGCAGTGCGCGGAGCCGCACAAGGCTGCGACGGGTCGCGTGACAAACCCTAAGCCGCGCGCGGGCGGCTAGCGAGTCGCGCGCGTTAAAAACGAGCCGCGCGCGGGTGGCTAGCGGGCTGCGTGCGCGCGGTAGGTAGAGGCGCACGAGGGCGCGCGGTAGGTAGAGGCGCACGAGGGCGCTAAGGCGCACGAGGGCGTGCGGTAGGTAGAGGCGCACAAGGGCGCTAAGGCGCACAACATATATAATGTTTGACAGGCTGTTCCCGCACGAAGGTCTTCCATGTAGGCATACCAGCCCGGACGTTCGATGTTCCCGCCGCCGGACGTGTTCAAGGCATCATTGATTTCCTTGAAATCACGCTCCATCCGCTTCCACTGCTGTTTCATGGCTTCGGACTAGCGCGTCCATGCGGGGTTCGCCTTCCGGATGTGCCGACGAAGCTTCTTCCAATATTGCGCACCCTGTTTCCCTTTCATAGCCTTCAGATCTTCGCGGGTGAACCAGCGCGCGGCAGCCAACTCCGCCATCTCGCTCTCCTTCCAGACCTTCCGCTTCTTCTTGAGCCTGTCAGCCTTCCGCTTTCCCTTGGCGTTGTCATTCGGGGTAGTAGGGTCGTGGCCTTCATTTTCAACCTCGGAAGGGCTGGCCAGGTTGTCCAAGGCCGCGTCGTCGGATTCAATTGATGCGTCAGAGTCGGCCTCGCTGTCGCTGCTCTCGAATGCTTCGAAATCCTCAGGCTCGGAGTCGGAGCTTGCATTCGTGCCGGTTCCCAGATCCGCACACGCCTGGTTGTCAGGATCGCCGAAGGGCTCCCCGTTACGGGTTTCCATGCTTTCGTTACGAATGCAACCACGCCGATCGCCATTCTCCTGGCGCTTCTTCATCCACTGAACGTAAGGCGGCTCCGGAACAACGAGGTCAGCATCATTGTTGGCAGCATTCTTCACAATCTTGCTGGTCTTGTGCTTGGGAGCCATGACAAACAGTGAGCAACGGGATACTGGAAGTAGCGAGAGAAGTAATGGCACTGAGAATGGTGTCGGGAGAGATTTGCCCAAGCTCTTATATCTACTACTTTTTTTGTCCTAAGCTGGAACGAGCCGAGGCGCCAGAAAGTGAGTAGATGCAGCGTGAGACACATTGTTCTAGAAGCGCAGCAAATACGCTGTGATCTGAACGCAATGGTGAAGCCAGATTTGCAAGATTGGCGGGAGTCAACCTAGGCCAGAGAAATCGTCGTGCGAAAATTTCCTATTTTCGTGTCCTAAGCTGGAACAGGTGAAGGAGAGACCACATAGCGAGGAGATTCAACTTGAGCTGCGAAGTTGTGGGGCCGATCTGAATTTTCTGCGGGATTGTGATCTGAACGCAGTTGTGAGGCAGATCTGCAGTTTCAGCGGGATTCAACCCAGGCCAGAGAAATTGCCGCGCTGAAATGCTTCCCTGACATTGACTGTTATCTGTCAATGTTGGACTCGCCTAGCCGTTTACGATGGGCGGGATCAAAATGCTCAGGTCGGAGCGACCCACTAGATTAACCAATCACATCACGAACGAAATGTGCGATTGTTGGTTTCCAAACTCTGCTTCAACGCGATTCTCCAGCCCCAAATCAGGGTTGTAGACACAAGCTGTTGTAAAGCAGCTCGTGTCTTCCCAAAAATTGGGAAGACACCAACGCGGGATACGCCCTTATTGTAGAATTGCTTGGAAAAAATTTGAAATAAGGGAATGTACCCCTCAGAGTACATGGCTAGTTAGAGCTATTTATTCAGCTTGTATTCTATCTTTTAGTTAACTTTATCACTTACATTCACTATGATCAAAGTTCCTACAAAGACTTCCGCTACCAAACTCTTGCAAGGCTCTCCTATTCTGTCCAAGATCCTTACTCTAACATGGTATGAAAGCTAGTTTGGATGATAGGATCTGCCAAAAAGTCTCTTCGACAAGATAACTTTCAATATAATTTACAATTACATCAAGGGCTATCAACATGCCAGGCGCAGACTGCGGAGAGGCTGGAGAAAATCCAGTACCATCTCCCACCAATATCGCTTCCAGAATGACAACAGTGGATACAGCTCTACTCGAGCAATTAATCTCCCGCATCAGCGCTCTGGAAACCCATCAGCCAATAAGCATTGACGGCTCAAGCTACGCCCGAAGATCTCCCGATCCTCAAGGAGCTCATTCCGAGCGGTGGTTCACCTTCGACAATCGCGGAGCTCAAGGTCCTGCACAAGCACAACAACAACACTACGAGAAAATGGCGTCAATGCAGAGCAAGTTTCTCTCAACATACTCAAGACCATCTTACCCTTTGACGAGAAGGACTTATACACCTGGAGTTTCGAGTTCGAACTCCTCGCTCAAGGCGCTCAAATTTGGATGTACTACGACGGGTCTGACCCATTCTCGGCCAACGGATCACCTCAAGAGAAAACTCAGTACTACAACGAGTCGCTGTTGGCCTTCACCGTCCTGATCCGGAACCTGACGCCCAAAGAACAGCTGAGCATCCGCCCGTTCAAAAACGAGTGGGCACCATCACATCAAGCCTAGGAGCACCTGCGCACCTGCCACAGGGCAACAGACTCGGTGACACTTAGTCGCTTCTCAACCAGCTGAACATGTCAGATTATGTTGTTTGTCTAGCCTGCAGTGGGGTGCTCAATAGTGAGTACAACCCCTTAGGGTTTGCTATTTGTATCCTGCTGCCTGCTAGTTCAATCACACCATTCTCCATTTCTCCTTCACATACCCAAAACCCTAGTCCTAGGGCACATCCTACTACCTCCTAGTGTGGGCCTAGGCTACTAAGCCTAGGCCCCACTCCTATTGTTTCTAACAGAACAATGTCAAGATGTTACCCGGCGAGAAGGCCAGACCATACATCAACCGCTGCAGAAATGTGAGGGACAAATTCAATAAAAGCGGTGGAAACTTCCCTGACGACATGTTCGTCACTATCATTATCGCTGGTCTGAGTCCAGAATGGCGCCACTGCAAATCACTTCTCCGCACGCAAGGAACCCTGAGTGAAAGTTCCCTATGCACGTCTCTTCTCGCGGAACAGCAGGAGATCGACCTGTACAACGAGAGAGGCAACAAAAGGGAGAAGAGAGGACACACGATTCAAGACTGCTGGAAGCTGCACGGCAACAACAACAACCGGAAGAATGCCGCAACTCACCAGCAAAGAGGAGCTTCAGCACGCAACCAGACAATGTCACTACCAGCTGTTGCCAGCACGTCTCAAGCTTCGGCGCGTATTCTTGCGAACACAAACGACAAAGGCAAAAGCAAGGTATTAACTTGCATGGTGCGTCATGGACCGCCTCGCCTAAACCGACACTACCGCTTCTTCCGCAGCTGGGAGGAAATGTTTGCAGATCCACCGCAGAAGCGACCCGAAGGATCAGTCGAAAATGAGGAAGAAAACAATCCAACGTACGACAAGCTGTCAATTGGACGGATGGAGTACGACTGGGAGATGCCGCAGTGGATCCAAGAATCGCCACCTGCACGCATGGCATATGACAAAGAAGGGTGTTATGACTACGAGAACGAGCATGACATGGAGCATCACATCACTCCGAAACTCGCCAACCTTGCCAAAGAGAAGAAGGAGGTAAACAAGTGGTACCTGGATAGCTGTTGTGGCCAACACATGGTGTCATCGGACATCTTCATTCTCAACAGTAAACAAGTCTTCAACGAAGTGGAGATCACCGTTGCCAACAGTCAGACTATCTACGCCAGAATCCGCGGACAGATTCAACTGGAGTCACACGACACCAGCTACTGCATCCACATCAGCGACGTCCTCGTCGTGCCCGGGCTCCAGTACAATCTCATGTCCCTCCACCAGCTGATGAAGTGCGGAGTCGGCCTGGAAACAACAGAATACGAAATGCATTTAATATACAATGGATTTTTCATCAAAAAGGTGACAAATGTGGAAGGAGTATTCGTGCTCAACTTCGAGTCACCTTAAACCTCTGGCGACAACGAGCACATCCTCGTTCTTGATCCGCTCGGCCATCCGTCACCACCAAGGTGGAGCCATCCAGAAGAAACTGACTATCAGCGACCCGGTTTTGACGGCACCTTCCGCGCTCCTGCCGTACCCGTCGCCTCCACCACGAACCCTGCAAAAACGGGACCTCAAGCGGTGGAAGAAGGAGAAGAGGCCACGTCTGAAACAGGAGTAGCAACAACCGAAACAACAAACACTGAAACCGCACAGCCACCTTGGCCCACCGTTCAACGACCTACCGGCTGGAACACCACTGAGGGCTGGGACGCTGTGGATGTGCGTTGGGTCATGGAAAACACCGCGCTAGGAGAAGCCGTCGCAGTTGAAACCGGATGGGCAAACGTCGCCGAAGAACCGGCAGCAGAAGAAGCAGACACAGCAGAAATACCAGAGGTCACTGAGAAGCACCATAAGCAAAGGAAGAGGAGTCATTAGCAGAGTACGGCCCTCACCTCATTCCCATTACAACGGATGGCATGGATTATCTCCGCATCGAGAAAAGGGGAGCAGTGATTGGCGACGCCGACCTCGAAAAAGTCACGCAAATAGAAGATCGTAGCTCTCAAATCTTGCCGCCGCCTCCCGAAAGGCCACCGGAGCTTCCAGTGACAATTGATACCACTACCATCGGCGATACCAATGGGACGTACAACGGCGCAACACTCCGAGGAGCGGCAGTTCAAATCGTCGTGGCCGACGAACCTGCGGAACAAGTTGGGAAGGAAACCGCAGAAGCAATATTAGCACGAGAAAAGAAGCTCTACGCGCGCACCAAAGGATATCGGGCCGACCGCGATATCTGGCATCAACGCGTTGGGCACCCATCGATTGAAGTGCTCAACAATTGCATCAACGCAAATGTCTTTGCGACAAATGCACTGTTGCTGCCAGATGGAAAATTACTCAAACCAAGGACCGACTCACCCAATTGCACCGTCTGCCCGGCAGTTGCGCTACGACACACACCTTTCCCCGAGAAGATCCCTGGAGCTGAACTCCACAAGCCGCTGGAGAAAGTCTACAGCGACTTTCTGGTACTCACGGCGAAGGGAGTTGGAGGGGAGCATTACACACTCACCTTCATCGACGCTGGCACTCGTTTCGTATGGGCCGTCAACATCAGCAACCGCTATCTTGCCTTCTAGTGCTTCGAAGTCTGGGTGAACATGGCGGAGACTCAGAGTAACTGGGAGAAGCTGAAGGCATTCCAGACAGACGGAGCCCTGGAGTATCAGATGGAGGAGTTCAAAACCCTCTGCAAGTAGAAGGGCATCAAGAGGATGATTTCACTCCCCTATGCTCACCAACAGCAGAGATTGGCTGAGCGTACCAACAGGAGCCTCGCGACAAAAATGCGAGCCCTCATGAAGCAGTCAGCTGTGCTAACCAAATACTGTCCCTTTGCGATGGCGCATGCAGTTCGGCTGCACAACATGCTTTCCTCGAAGGCACTGCCCAACAATAGTTCACACTTCACGGAGTGGACCGGAAAACACCCTGACACACGCATGCTGCGAGTCTTCGGGTGTATGGTACAGTAAAGACCCCACACTGCCCGGACCGGAAAATTTGAAGACCGTGCTCGCTAGGGCATCCACCTCGGAATCGAATTTGAATACCACGCCTGGACGATTTTGGACTTCGCCACCCACCAGCTCACGCGTTCACGTGACTGCATCTTCTACGAAAGACTGACCCTGCCACTGTACCGCCAGCACCGCACTGCACAGAATGCACCAGACAACATCTTGCAGGGACAGCACAGCCTCGCCAATGACGAGGACGACATCGACGTGGCAGGCGAACAACCGAACGAGGGAACTGAGGATGAGGCACCTTTCTTATCTGTTACGGAGCAGTTCGGCACACCCACATTTCTCCCAATCAACACTGAGCAACATGAAGCAGTCCAAGCTCAACACGATTACGCAAGTGCAGAAATGCACTCACCCATGGACGAAGACCCAGCTCGCGATTCTTCTCGTGACGACGACGACGACGACGTGGTCGAAGTAACCAATGCAGCTGAATCCAACCTTACAGGCCCTCGCATCCTTGGACTCGCCGTCGCCATACGAGGTAACCAGCAGCTGGTCGAACCCACCACCGTTCGCCAGACCCTCAGCGGGCCTGATGCCGAGAAGTGGAGAGCCGCCATGGCCGCAGAAGTCGCTGCCCTCCAGCAGCGTGGAACGTGGAAACTGGTACCGTGACGACACGCAAAGGGGAGGAATATACTCACAGGCAAATGGGTTTTCAGGATCGAGACCCTCGCGGACGGAACTGTCGACAAGTAGAAGGCGCGTTGGATCGTCCGCAGATTCGAGCAAACTCAGTTCGTGGACTACAATCAGACATTCGCACCTGTCGGCCGCCACACTTCTGTGCGAATTCTCCTCTGCATTGCCGCCGTAAAGCAGTGACCGCTGCGTAAAATCGACATTTCCAATGCCTTTCTCTATGCGATTGTCAATGCTATCATTTATGTCGAGCAGCCGCACGCCTTCGAGGAAGATGGCGATGCCATCTGCCTCCTCAAGCAAGCACCATGCCTATGGCAGCAGTACCTCCACACCGTGCTCATCGAACTCGGCTTCGAGCAGCTCCCTCACGACCAAGGGATGTACCGCCTAGAATCACGCGGCAACTTGATTCTTCTTGTCGCCTACGTGGAGGACCTCCTCTATACCGGCAACAACGCGGAGCTGCTCGACCTCTTTGAATGTGAAATTCAGGAGAAGCTGGAGGTGACCATCGATCACAAGGTCACTCAAATCCTCGGTCTCAATGTCACTCAGAGTGCCGACACAATCCACCTCTCCGCCGCAAAATATGCCAAAAACCTTGCTAAGAAATTCGGCATCGCTCCCATCAGCATCACTACCCCGTTCCACACTCCTCCACCTAACCACGAGCCCGACACCACCCCGCTCTCCCCGGCCGACCATCGCCTCTACCAGCAGCAGCTCGGTTGCCTCCTGTTCGCCGCCGTCACATGCCGCCTGGATTTATCATACATCGCCATCCAGCTCGCCCAGTACTTGCGCTGACCCGAAGGGGAGAACATGGCAGACCTACGACGCGCCCTACAATATTTTATCTCTACGCCCGACGTTGGCCTCACCTACAAGGCAAATCTAACAGCCAACCTACAGCTTACTGGCTACGTAAACGCCAACCACGCTGGGGACGCAGACAACAGGAGGTCCCGCACGGGCTTCATTTTCAAACTTGAGCCTGCATGGACCATCTCTTGGAACTCACAGAATCAGGAGCTCATCGCCCTTTCGTCAGCAGAAGCAGAATCTATCGCAGCAAGTGCAGCAGTTCGCGAAGGACTCTACCTCACGGAGCTCTTATAGGAAACAAAAACGGCGATGAACGGGCCCTTCAAGTTACTCTGCGACAACCAGAGTGCGATCAAAATCGCACACAAAACTGTTAAATTGTAATGTGTTATATGTTGGTAGGCTGTAGTGGGGTAGCCAATATGGGGTACAACCCCAACTAGGGTTTCATATTTGTACCCAAACTTCTGCTAGTTCATTCATTCTTGCCTAGTTATTCTGACATGGTATTCAGAGCAGGAGGTCCCTAGGACCTACCGACCGTTTTTTTTTAAGGGCCCACCACCGCTCGCTGCGGTTACCACGCTACCCCGTGCCCTAGCCTCGTAGCGCCCTCGTGCGCCCTCGTTAGCGCCCTCGCGCGCCCCTCGTTAGCGCCCTCGCGCGCACCCTCGTTAGCGCCCTCGCGCGCCCCTTCGTTAGCGCCCTCGCGCGCCCCTTGCTAGCGCCCTCGCGCGCCCCTTCACTAGCGCCCTCGCGCGCCCCTCGCCGAGCCGCCCGCTCGCAGCCCGCTCGCCCGCTCGCTGCCCGCTTCGCGGCCCGCTCGCTACGCAGCCCGCCCGCCCGCTCGCTGCCCGCTTCGCGGCCCGCCCGCTTCGCAGCCCGCTCGCTCGCTGCCCGCTTCGCGGCCCGCCCGCTTCGCAGCCCGCTCGCTCGCTGCCCGCTTCGCAGCCCGCCCGCCCGCTCGCTGCCCGCTTCGCGGCCCGCCCGCTTCGCAGCCCGCTCGCCCCGCTGCCCGCTTCGCGGCCCGCCCACTTCGCAGCCCGCCCGCCCGCTAGCTGCCCACTTCGCGGCCCGCCCGCATCGCAGCCCGCTCGCCCCGCTGCCCGCTTCGCAGCCCGCCCGCCCGCCCGCTGCCCGCTTCGCGGCCCGCCCGCCACGCAGCGTCGCCCGCCCGCCGTGCTGCCCGCTTGCAGCGCCGCCTGCCCGCCGCGCTGCCCGCTTCCCGGCCCGTCCGCCGTGCTGCCCGCTCGCAGCGTCGCCCTCCCGTCGCGCTGACCGCTTGCAGCGCCGCCTGCCCGTAGCGCCAGCCTCGCCCGCTGCTCTCTATCCGTGCACAGTCGCCTTCCCCTGCTGCGGCAGCTTGCGTTACTCTGTCACACTGTCGCTATGGCTTCCATCCGCGTGCTGTCGTTCGATGCTGAGGGCCGCCCTGTGCGGTTCACCGCTTGGCTAGATGACCTGCAGCTGTTCCTCCTGAGCGATAGCAAGGAGCATGTGTCGCTCTATGATTACGCGTCTGGTGCTGCGCCTGCCCCTCCTGCCACAGCTGAGCTTAGTGTTCGTTCCCACTGGCAGACTCGTGACGCAGCTGCTCGCCTAGCCATTCGCAGTCACCTGCCGTTAGCTGAGCTAGAGCATTTTGGCGACTGCAAATCCGCTAAGGCCCTGTACGACGCTGTCGTCGCTCGCTACTCCTCGCCTGCCACAGCCGAGCTTAGCCGCCTCATGCTGCCGTACCTGTTCCCCGATCTGTCCACCTTTACTACAGTCGCCGATCTTATCACCCACCTTCGCACTAGTGATGCTCGCCTGCGTGCCGCCCTTCCCACCGAGTTCTGCGCTAAGAACCCCCCTCCACTGTACTGGACACTCCACTTCATAGTCACCCGTCTCCCTGACACCCTCCGCTCAGTTCGAGACCACTTCCTTGCTCGCTGTCCCACTGAGCTCACAGTCGCCCTCCTAGAGGAGCACCTGCTCGCGGCCGAAAAGAGCATTGTAGCTGTCGGTGCTGCTCGTGGCGCTCCTCGCACCCCCATCTTTGAGGGGTGTTCTCCCTCTCCCCTCGCTCCCTCCTACGCTGCTGCTGCTGCTGTTGACTTCCTTGGTGCTGAGTCTGTTGGCGCTGCTTCTACTCCTGGTGGGAGGCGCCGCACCGGCAAGGGCAAGGGGGGCAAAAGTGGTGGTGGTGGCACTGGGGGGGGAGGAGGTGGGGGAGGTGGGGGGGGAGGCGGTGCTGGAGGGAGCGGTGGCGGGAGCGCTGGTGGGAGTGGGGTCGGTGGTGGAGACGGGGGCGGCGGAGGAAGCAGTGGCAGTAGTGGCGGCGGCGGCGGTGGCGGCGGTGGCAGTGGCGGCGGTGGCGGTACCGGTCGGAGCGGTGGTAGTGGTGGCGGCGGAGGTCGGAGTGGAGGCACTGGCTCGGGCCAGAGCTCCCAGCAGCAGCAGCGTCCCCAGACGACCCAGCAGCTTCGTGAGTGGCTTGCTCAGCGTGGGACGTCGGGGGCCAGTGCCCGCTGTTCTTATGTCATTCGCACAGGTGACCGCAAGGGACAGACGTGTGGGAGGTTCCACACCCCGTACCGCTGCTTCTCCCGCCTTGACGACGCTTGGCGTGAGGAGATGGGTGCGGATGTTGAGCGCCCCCGCTGGGCTGAGCTCATGAGGGCTGGTGTTGATGTCTTTGCTCTTGACTATGATGCTATTATTGCTGCCATGTATGCATTGACTGTTAGTGCCGAGGGAGACTGTTACTTGTGTGTGCCGCCTGACCCAGGTATAGAGCCCGCTGCCCTAGGTACTAGTGAGTCTGCTCTCTCTGGTATGGTGCCCCCTGTACTTGCTCCCCCCAGTGCTGTCCCGGCTGGTTTCGAGTCTGCTCTCTCAGGTACAGCACCCACAGAGACTGCTCTCTCAGGTACCGCACCGGCTGAGGCCTGTCACACCTTCACCCTTGACTCAGGTGCTTCCCGTTGCTTCTTCCGTGACAGTACTGAGCTCACACCGCTTCCTGCACCGGTCCCAGTCTCCTTGGCTGACCCCTCTGGGGGCCCAGTCCTTGCCCAGTCCACCACTGTCCTCCCTTGTCCGGCGGTTCCGTCTGGCTCGTTGTCGGGTTTCCACCTCCCCTCGTTCTCGACGAACCTGGTGAGCAACGCTGTCCTCCAGGATCAGTGGGTTGACACCTTTACCCCTGGCGGACAGCGTGTGGCGATCTGCACGTGCTCCAGGACCGGCCGTCACCTGGCTACGTTCACCCGTCGGCCGGGGTCGAGTCTCTACACACTGACCACTGCGTCTCCCCAGGTAGCTGCTGTCGGTCAGGTGTCTGCGTCAGGTCTGGTGGCCCACGCCTGTGAGTGTCGCTCCCTGTCGCACCAGACTCTTCTCTGGCACCACCGCCTGGGTCACCCCTCCTTGCCACGCCTTCGTGGCATGCACCGTCGCCTCCTTGTGTCTGGTCTTCCCAGGTCCCTCCCTCCCCTCCCTGCCTCGCCTGCGCCGCCTTGCCTTCCTTGCGTCGAGGGGCGGCAGCGCGCCGCCCCTCACTCCTCCTCGTTCCCCCCGACAGAGGCTCCTTTGGAGACCCTCCACCTAGACGTGTGGGGCCCAGCCCGCGTTCGTGGTCAGGGCGGTGAGCGGTACTTTTTGCTGGTCGTCGACGACTACTCGCGTTACACCACGGTCTTCCCCTTGCGCACCAAGGGTGAGGTCCCTGCTGTTCTGATCCCTTGGATCCGCACGGTTCGTCTCCAGCTCCGCCGCCGTTTCCGGACGGATCTTCCTGTCCTGCGTCTGCACTCTGACAGAGGTGGTGAGTTTTCCTCCGACCTCTTGAGGACCTTCTGTCAGGCGGAGGGCATCGAGCAGACCTTCACGCTTCCGGACTCCCCACAGCAGAATGGGGTTGCTGAGCGCCGCATTGGCCTGGTCATGGAGGTCGCTCGTACCTCCTTGGTCCACGCGGCGGCTCCCCATTTTCTGTGGCCGTTTGCTGTCCGGTACGCCGCGCATCAGCTCAACCTCTGGCCCCGTGTCTCCTTGCCGGAGACCTCGCCCACACTGCGTTGGACGGGGGAGGTTGGCGATGCGTCGCGCTTCCGGGTGTGGGGTGCTCGTGCCCTTGTCCGCGATACGTCCGCGGACAAGCTCTCCTCCCGCACGCTTCCCTGTGTCTTCCTTGGCTTTGTCCCTGACGCGCCTGGCTGGCAGTTTTACCACCCCACCTCGCGCCGGGTCTTCGCCTCTCAGGATGTCACCTTTGACGAGTCGGTCCCTTTTTACCGTCTCTTCCCCTACCGCACTGCCCCCCTCCCTCCCCCGCCGCTTTTCCTTGCTCCTGGTCCCCCTCCGGTAGACCCCCTTCCCCCTCAGGGTCCTGCTCCTTCAGGTGTCTCTCAGGTAGACCCTCCTCCCGTCGCTGAGCCTGTCGAGGTCACAGGTGACTCAGGTGCTGCTGCGGGTGGTGCTGCTGGGAGTGCTGAGCCTGGGGGTGCTGAGCCTGGGGGTGCTGGGCCTGGGGGTGCTGGGGCGGCAGGTGCTGGGACTGAGGGTGCTGGAGCTGAGGGTACGGTGCCTGAGAGTACGGAGCCTGGGGGTGCTGAGCCTGCGGGTGCTGAGCCTGCGGGTGCGGGGCCTGGGAGTGCTGGGACTACGGGTGCTGGAGCTGAGGGTACTGTGCCTGAGAGTTTGCCGCCTGGGGGTGCTGAGCCTGGGGGTGCTGCGACTGGGGGTGCTGAGCCTGCGGGTACTGAGCCTGCGGGTACTGAGCCTGGGGGTGCTGCTACTGAGCCTACGGAGCCTCGGGTTACTGCGTCTGGGGGTGCTCCGGTTCGGGGTGCTGAGCAGTCTCTCACACCGCAGCAGCTTCGCGACTGGTACGTCCGACGCTTTCGCCGTCCTAGTGGCTCGGCTGGAGTTTGGGGTGCTGGAGCTGCTCGTCCTGGGGGTGCTCGTACTGGGGGTACTGGAGCTGCCGGGACTGGCTGTTCTGGGAGCACTGCGACTGGAGCTGCTGGAGCTGGGGACTCTGGCGCTGCCGACTCTGGGGGTGGCGCTGCTGCTGGTGCTGCGGACCCACCTGGTGGAGCTGCTGCTGGTGCTGAGGAGTCGGACGGTGGAGCTGCTGCTGGAGCTGGGGACCCGGCCGGTGGAGCTGCTGCTGGTGCTGTGGACCCGGACGCTGGAGCTCCTACTGGTGCTGAGGACCCGGCCGCTGGAGTCCCGTCTGCTTCTGGAGACGCTGCGCGGCCGCGACCGTACTTCGTACCGCTCCTTCAGCAGGTTCTTGGGCAGGCTCCTCCTCCTTGTCCTCCTCCCTCCGTAGAGTGTCCTCCGCCTGTCCAGCCGCAGTCACAGTTACCGCCTGCCTCGCCTCTCCCTGCTCCCTCTCCTTATACTGGTCCCACAGGAGGTCTTACTGAGCGTCGTGAGCCTGAGTCTCGTCCTGCGTCGCCTGTTCGTCCTGCTCGCACTGGTAGTCGTGTCCGTCGTGAGCGTCCTCCTCCTGTCCCAGGCACTCACTACATGACTCTACGTCCCTCTACTGCTCCTCGGCGTGTCCCTCTACCGTCTCCTCCTGCGTCCTCTTTGCCTGACGTTCCGGACCCTGAGTCTGACCGGTATCGCGCTGAGCACCCTACAGTCACGCGTCTCCTTGCTACTGTTGTCACTGACCCCACCTTTGAGTCCTCGGCTGCGTCTGCTCTGGTCGCTGAGTTGGTTGACTTTGCTGCTGCCTGTCGTCTAGACTACGCTGCTAGCCTTGTCGCTGAGTCAGAGTCTGCGTCTGTCTGTCCTCCGTCCGTCGGGGGTGAGTGTGCTCTTGGCACGGACGTCCTTGAGGACAGGCAGGAGGACTTTGACTCTCTTGCGGCTGCTGTACCTCATCTCGTGGCCTCGTTGCTTGCCCCTGAGGGAGACCCGGATGCAGTAGACATCCCCACTCCGCGCACTTACGCAGAGGCGATCTCGGGTCCCTACTCCTCTCAGTGGCAGACAGCCATGGACGCAGAGATGGCATCCTGGAAGTCCACAGGCACCTACGTCGACGAGGTTCCCCCTCCTGGGGCGAACATCGTCGATGGCATGTGGATTTTCAGGGTGAAGCGGCCGCCAGGTTCTCCGCCTGTCTTCAAGGCTCGTTACGTTGCTAGAGGCTTCAGTCAGCGTCAGGGGGTCGACTTCTTCCAGACCTTCTCCCCCACCCCGAAGATGACCACTCTTCGGGTTCTGCTGCACGTTGCTGCTCAGCGTGACTACGAGCTTCACTCTCTTGACTTCAGTACAGCGTTCCTGCAGGGCAGCCTGCACGAGGAGATCTGGCTGCGCCGCCCACCTGGCTTTACTGGGTCGTTTCCCCCTGGTACCCAGTGGAGTCTCCGCCGGCCAGTCTACGGTCTCCGCCAGGCGCCACGTGAGTGGCACGACACACTGAGGACTACTCTTGCGGCTCTTGGGTTCGCGCCGTCTACTGCTGACCCGTCGCTGTTTCTGCGCACAGACACGTCGCTGCCGCCGTTCTACATCCTCGTGTACGTCGACGACTTGGTCTTTGCTACTGCTGACACTGAGGCACTCGCTCGTGTGAAGTCGGAGCTGCAGAAGAGACACACCTGCACTGACCTGGGTGAACTGCGTAGCTACCTTGGCTTGCAGATCACCCGGGACAGAGCTCGCCGCACCATCACCCTGACTCAGTCACACATGGTGCAGCAGGTCCTTCAGCGCTTCGGCTTCCAGTTCTCCTCACCACAGGCCACACCTCTGGCTACCAGCCACTCGCTCTCAGCTCCACCTTCGGACGAGTCCGTAGAGCCGAGTGGCCCGTACCCAGAGCTTGTAGGCTGCCTCATGTACCTGATGACTTGCACGCGACCTGACCTCGCGTACCCTCTTAGCATCCTCTTTTGCGCCTGGGAGACACAGGCGAGAGCACTGGGAGGCTGCTAAGAGGGTGCTGCGTTACTTGTGCAGTACATCAGGCATGGGGCTGGTGCTTGGAGGACGCGACAGAGTTGTCCTCACTGGTCACTCGGACGCCTCTTGGGTGGACGACCTGGCTACGCAGCGGTCGTCACAGGGTTACACCTTCAGCCTTGGCTCAGGTTCTGTCTCGTGGCGGTCCACCCGCTCTTCCTCTGTTCTCGGCTCTAGTTGTGAGGCTGAGATCTACGCCACAGCCATGGCTGCACAGGAGTTACGCTGGCTCACCTACCTGCTGACTGACTTGGGAGAGCGGCCTAGTTCTCCTCCAGTTCTGTACGGCGACAACAAGGCGGCCCTTGCCTTGTGTCAGGAGCACAGACTGGAGCACAGGACGAAGCACATTGCTCTTCGCTACTTTCTTGCTCGAGAGCTGCAGCAGCGAGGTCAGCTTCGGCTTGTGTACGTGGACTCGAAGGCCAACACCGCTGATATCTTCACCAAGGCGCTCCCGCCTAGTGATCATCAGCGGCACTGTACTTCTTTAGGCCTTGTGTCCACTTTTCCTCACTTGCTCACTGCTTGACATTCTTTGTACTGTACTTTATATATATCTTGTTGCTTGTCTTGTACTATATCTAGCACTGCATGTGAACTGGCCTTGTGGCCTTTGCTTGTGCTCGGAGTGTGGTGACTTTGTGATCCACCCTGGGCTTGCATTGCTTTGCTGGACTGGTCTTGTGACCCTTTGTTCTCCCCCACTTTGCCTATGGGGGTGTGTTAAATTGTAATGTGTTATATGTTGGTAGGCTGTAGTGGGGTAGCCAATATGGGGTACAACCCCAACTAGGGTTTCATATTTGTACCCAAACTTCTGCTAGTTCATTCATTCTTGCCTAGTTATTCTGACAAAAACAAGCCGGGCTTCGTCAACCACGCAAAACACATCGCCCTGCTTTACTTCCTCGTCAAAGACGAAATCGACAAAGGGAAGGTCCAGCTCATCTACTGCCCAACTGGCGAAATGGCAGCCGATTTCCTGACAAAGAAGCTGCCACGTCATAAGCTCCAGTACTGCTTGGACCTGTGCAGAGTCGTTCGAAATAGCCACGTGGCGCACCTCCAGAAATGAAGGGGAGTGTTGGAGTATGAATTGGGCGAATCATACTTAGCATTCTCGAAGGTGCAGCAACATCGCGCATGTCATTATCGAAGCAGCGCTAGCAGTAATATTGGATCAGCCCGTATCAAGGGCAGGAAGGTCAACAATCGTAAAAGTCAACTGTCGCGACTGTTGACCATCTGGACCAACGGTTGACTTAACATCAAGGAATGACAACAGGCGTAACCGTACGCCCGGTTACACGCAGCGACTCGGTGACAAGAACTGTAGAAGTGCCTAAAAAACAATATATATAAGGGAATGTACCCCTGAGAGTACATGGCTAGTTAGAGCTATTTATTCCGCTTGTACCTATTCTATTTTTTTTTATTAACTTTGTCATTTTCATTCACTATGATCAGAGTTCCTACAAAGACTTCCGCTACCTCTTCTAAGGCACTACTATTCTGTCCAAGATCCTTACTCTAACATGAATGCTGTAAATAACGCTTTGGTTATCTCAAAAGAATTAACCAACGAGGGCGACAAGTAAACGACGCCCGAGTCGCTTAAGGGACACTTAGTACAACGGTATTATGTTTCCCGTTTACGCGTGCCTGATGTGGACCACCTTTCTTAAAACGGGAGTAATGTAAGGAATTTTTCCACTCCTTACTGCGTTTATGGTACTACGCGTACATCTCCAACTTACGAAAGTCCATGCTCAGTCCGGCGACTATGCCTTCCGAATTTTACCTGCGATGCCTTTGGACTTGCCATTCCCAAACCATCATTCACCCTTGAGGTCCCCGCTTAGCAAGGTCCCATCGTTATATCATTGCTATTGCTAGTCTTTGTTTCATCAGTAGTTGTATAATCACACTTAGATATTGACTTCAGCTCACCCGATTCACCAGATGCCGGAATACTAACGAAGCACACCGGGGAGGCAAACCACGACCGCGCCTTCAAGGACCTCCCCCATTGGTAGCGTCGATGCATGAGAGGCCCAAGGCAGCCGAGAGGCGATCCAACGGACGTGCCATCCTTCGCCCTCGAGCATGCGCCATCGAGACCAGATTCCGTCAGACTGACGGCCAGAAATTGACGGAAGCAATTTCGAGGAGGCGTTTGGGGTGAAGCCCAAGGCTGCAACTTCAACAAAAACACAGATTTGACTTCATCTTCAACAGAGAGCCGATCGACGCACCAGCTAGTTTCGTGAAAAGTAGAACAAGGAACTCTTGGCACGCACGAGATTCTGACAGCATCATATGCATTGCGTTTGTCGATCTACGATGATGAATTTCTTGCATCGCACAGCTCGCTGATTGCTTCGCGAAGCTAGACTGCCGTGAGCGATGGCGTCACGCCGCGAGGACGACGACGACACGTCGCCGTCGAGCTCGCTGCTATCTCCTCCGTCGCATGGCGAGGTCAACGGATTCAACGCACCCAGCGATCCCGGCGACTTCTTCGAGGAGCTCGAGCGCGATCTCGATTTCTCCGAGCCTCCGCCGTCGGCTCGCGCGGGTGCAACCTCGGGTGTAGATTCGGCATCCAGTTTGGGAGGCTTCGCAGAGTATTTGGGCGACAAGGAAGGCGACGGTTTCTGGAGCTCCTTGAGCGACGGCTCGCCGCGCGGGCGACACGCGACGGACAGGGATGAGACGGGAACGATTCACCCTGGTCCTGCCGTGCAAGGGATGACGTCGGGTTACCAGCAACGAGACGAAATGGAAGCGAAACTGGGACGGTTGCTGCAAATGGATCAGGGCCAGGAGCTTCCGCCGGGAGCCAGCATTCGCGACATCGGGAGTGTCGGCAGCCGCCCCGTCACCTCGAAGCACTCGCACGTTCCTGACGCGGCGTCGCATCAGCCGGTCGCCAAGCACTCCCAGGCCCGCACCGCGGAAGACCCTGGCGTGCTTGCGAGCGGCGCCAGCAACAGCGTGCGAGGCCCGTTCCCGAACGGCCATCGCCACGGGGACAACGACGGCGAGCGACAAAGTAACATGGGTTTCGCGATCGATGGCGAAGTGAGCAGCCCGTGGGTGCAGGGGTCCGGCGAAGGGCGGGAGGGCTGGGCTGGCGGGGAGATGAGCCGGTTGCGCGCGGAGCTGGACGCGGTGGACGCGGAGAGGCGGAGGCTGGCGGGCGAGCGGGACGAGGCGGTGGCGGGGCTGGCGGAGGAGCGGCGGCGGAGCGAGGCGTGGATGGGGAAGGCGCGCGACGCGGAAGCGGATCGCGCTGCCGCCGACGCCAAACTGGACGAGTGGACCCGCGCTCTGCAACGGTCGAGTGCAGTGCAGAGCGGTGACGAACCCGAGAGTGGCTCAAACGAGGCGACGGCAGCAGCTGGGGGGAAGCGAGCGGGGGGTGGGGAGGACATGGTGCGGGTGTTAGAGGACGTGGTGGCGCACAAGACGCGCATGGTCGCCCGCGAGCGCGCCAAGCGCGAGGAGGCGGTGTGCCGGCGGGAGGAGGCGGAAGGCAAGCTCGCCGCCGCTGACAAGGAGCTGAGGGCGCTGCGGCGAGAGATGGACTCCCTGCGATCTGGTTACCAGCAGGTGGCGAAACGGAAGGAGGAGCTGGAGGCGCGAGTGGGGAGCCTGGAGGAGGAGGTGGAGCGGGTGAGCGCGGAGGAGCGGGAGGCGAAGGAGGTGGTGGAGGGCGCGATGCAGATGTGGCGCGACGCGAGTGAGGGCAAGGAGCTGGCGCAGGCGCAGGCGTCGGAGCTGCAGGAGCAGGTGGAGCGGCTGCGGGGCGCGCTGGCCGTGGAGGCGGAGAAGGTGAGGCAGGCGCGGCAGGAGGCGGTGCTGCAGGCGGAGGCGAGCAAGCAGGCGTTGGCGCGCGTGAGGGAGGTGCATTCGGGGGAGGGCGTACCTGAGGCGAAGTGGCTGGTGGAGCTGAAGGTGGAGGTGGAGCAGCGGCGCGTGGAGGTGCAGCAGGCGCTGCAGCAGGCGGCGTGGGAGCGCGAGCGGGCGGAGGCGGCGGAGAGGGCGAGGGAGGAGGAGCGGCAGCAGTGGGCGCGGCGGGAGAGGCGGCTGGAGGAGGATCTGATGAACCAGCAGCTGCAGATCGAGTTCCTCGAGGGCGCGGGGGCAGCACGCAGCAGCCTGGCGGATGGGTCTGGGAATGGGGCAAGCCTGGAGAAGCGCGTGTGGGAGCTGGAGGCGGAGGTGAGGGAGCGAAGCAAGGAGGTGACGTCGCTGCAGGAGTCGCTGGTGGAGGTGGAGCGGGAGAAGGCGCACGTGGCGGAGCGCCAGCACTCACTGCTGGCCGCGCTTGCCGGCGGGAACAGCGGCGCGGTGCTGACCCAGCTGCACACAGACGCCCTGCAGCTGTCCGCGCGGCTCAAGGAGGCGCAGGGCGAGCTGGCGCAGAGGGCGGAGGACTGGCGCGCGCTGGAGGGGGAGCTGAGGGGCAGGCTGGCGGACAAGGAGAGGGAGCTGCGGTTCCGCCTGAACCAGCTGCACGAGGGGGCGGAGGCACAGAGGCGCGTGGAGGCGCAGGTGGAGGCGGAGAGGGCGGAGAAGGAGGCGCTGAGGCGCGAGGTGAGCCGCCTGCTGCTGCTGGGCAGCGATGCTGGCAGTGCTGTGGGAGGAGCTGAGGGCCATGCGGGGCGAGTGGGGGGAGAGAATGCGGGGGCAGGCGGGGCGAAGGAAGGCGGTGATGAGGGGAGTGAGGAGCGGGTGAGGCAGGCGAGGGAGGAGGCGGGCATGTGGCGCAGCAAGGTGGCGGAGCTGGAGGGCGAGATAGAGCAGCGCGATGCCGAGATCAGCGGGCTGAGGGGCGCCCTGGACGACAGCAGCAAGGCGGTGGCCGTGGCGGAGCGGGCAGCCGCGGCCAAGGAGAGAGAGGTGCAGCGGCTGACAGCCGAGGTGCGGGAGAAGGGGCGCGAGGTGTGGGACCTGATCCATGAGTCGGAGCTCAAGGCGAGGCAGATGGATGCCGTGGAGAGGGAAGCAAGCCGGCGTGCGGGCGAGCTGGAGGACGCTCAGGGCGACCTGGCGATGGTGGAGAGGGAGGCGGAGCTGCTGAGGGGGCTGGTGAAAGATCGCGAGGAGGAGATTATTGCGGTGAGAGCGCAGCTGGCGGAGAGAGGCGGCGAGCTGGCGAGGCTGAGCGCAGAGGCGCAGGCGATGCGGGAGGACGCGGAGGAGACGGTGCGGCGGCTGAAGGAGGAGTTGGAGGAGGCGAGGGAGCAGGTGGGGCGGGGCGAGGTGCAGTTGTTAGAGGAGGAGGGGCAGCGCATCCTGGAGTTTGAGGAGCTGCAGGTGGAGCACACCATGGTGGTGCGACAGCTGCGAGACGTGCAGCGCGAGGTGGAGGAGAAAGACGCGCTGCTACGAGCCAAGGAGGAGGAGGTGCGGGCGAGGGAGCGGGCGGAGCGGCAGAAGGAGCAAGAGGTGCTGGAGGCGCTGGTGGAGGCGGAGGAGGTGAAGAAGCGCGTGGCCGAGGAGGTGGGCGCGGCTGTGCAG